ACCCCCTGGGTCCAGCAGAGCAAATGCTGCCTCACCTGGTAATCAGGCATGGGGAAAACATTGCTGAAGCCCCCTCCACTAATGTAGTCTGTCACTTCTGCAGTCACCAGGAAGGGATTCTTGAAGGACGTGCCCCCTACAGTGGTCACATAGGGGCTGTGGGGACAGGAGTGTGTGTGACCACCTTCAGCCTCTGCTTCGCCCACACACACACCACAGCCTCCTCCCCTATTCCCCACCCCTGCATAGCTGTGCAGGCTCCCTGAGGTCTCTGAAGTCCATGAGCCTCCTCCAGTCCTGGCAGCGCTGCTGGCCCTCAGGAGTAGCCCTTCCTGGGTCAAAACCAGCTCAAGGGAGCAGCCCAGCCATGGGCCGGGGGTTGAAGTGCAAGCAGCAGCTTCCAGCCAGCTACAGGTACGGACTACCTGCAGCAGCCAGGTCTGTGCAGAGCCTGACGCCTCCACAGGGGCCCAGGTCCACCTCCCACCAGTTACCTTGAGGCTGGAAAGCTGGGCCGGAAAGTGTGGTTCCCACTGGACACCCTTCTGCAGCCAGCACCATCATCACCTGCCAGTAGAGACAGGGGTTATTTGGCAGTGTCTGAGCTGTCCCTCTTCCACTAAATGCTTCCAGGAGTGACCTGGAGGAAGGGCTCTCTACACTCTGCCAGGCTGGGATTCCCACACAGGGGACCTTGGCTGGGAGGCAGAGCCCAGAGGCTCTCCGCTGTGGCAGAAATATCAGGAGCAGCCCAGGGTTGGGTCAACCTGGGCTAGCAGCAGCATAACAGCGTGCCCTGCTCCTGCTTATTCCAGAGGATAATTTTCTGGGGCCAAGTTCGCCTTCTTGCTTTGTACTTGTTCATCATCCAGCCCAGAGGTTCCCCACTGTCTGGGGCCCTCAGACACACCTGCACCATGCCGACAACAGCACGCACCTGATGCAAAGAGTATAGTCAGGCCCCGAGCAGCTGCCTTCATGAACTCCACATTCACGCGCTGCAGGTAGGCTAGTGACAGGCTGTCCTCATCATCCCCATAGCTCACGGAGTGCACCCAGGGCAGCGATGACATGTTGCTGAGCAGCAGCAGCCAGGCCAGGAAAGGCTCCTGGCTCTCATGCCTCCCTGCAGAGACAGATAAAAGTGACAGGTTCAGCTCCTCCTGGGACATGGAGTAGCGTGATTGGGGGTAGCAGAGAGCGGATGGCATGCCCTAGCAGCACCACAGAAGGAGCTGGAGGTCCTGACAGCTCCTGTCTCTTCCTGCAGCAAGTGGATCCATAGCACAGCTCATTTGTAGCTTTCCCATGGGCTCTAGCTGGCAGCATGGCTCATCTCAAGGATTGCCTCACACCTGGAGTAGCATCCGGTTCTGGGCTCCACAGTTCAAGAGAGACATGGAGCTCCTGGAGTGAGTCCAGCGAAGGGCTACTAAGATGATGAAGGGACTGGAGCATCTCTGCTATTAGGAAAGGCTGAGGGAGCTGGGCCTGTTCAGCCTAGAGAAGAGAAGACTGAGGGGGGGTCTGATCAGTGTGTATAAATACCTGACGGGGGTGTAAAAAAGACGGAGCCAGACTCTTCTTAGTGGTGCCTAGCAATAAGAGAGGCAATGGGCACAAACTGAAACACAGGAAAGTCCGTCTGAACAATCAGGAAAAAATTCTTTCCTGTGAGGGTGATTGAGCACTGGCACAGGTTGCCCAGAGAGGTTGTGGAGTCTCCTTCGCTGGAGATATTCAGAAGCCGTTTGGACACGGTCCTAGATAGCCTGCTCTAGATGACTCCACTTGATCGGAGGTTGGACTAGATGATCTCCAGAGGTTCCTTCCAGCCTCAACCGTTCTGTGATTCTGTGCCACAGTGGATGGCACTGGGCTCCAGCTCCACCAGAGGCCCTGGTGAAAGGGTCACCCTGAACCTCAGAGCAGGGGATTTACTGTCGTTCACCATCACCAAGCATCCGTTGCAGGGCTGTAACTACCCTTGTCGTCCAGGAAGCAGTGCAGCGTTTGCGACCCCTTCCTGAGGCCCCGAAGACTGTGGCCTCTGCACCCACCGTGAGCAGAGCTCTCCAGTGCACTGCCCACAGGGATGGCTGTCCTGTCCCTGTCCCTGCCCCTTGCTGAGGGGGAGTTGAATATGT